TACGACCAATGTAGATTACAAACTTACCTAAATGATCAGGTTATATCGAAAGTGGTCAGTATAAACAGTCTATTTGTAGCTCGTTCAGAATCAAGGCAAGCCTGTGAACAGATCAGTCGAGCTGCATTATAAGTCTGGTTTACCGGACGCGCCGAACCTTTGTTCTGGAGATCGTACATCGCATCCCCTTCTTCTACGCCTCCCGGACCAATTTGGAAAGCGGGCTCCTGAAAACTTCGCTCAGTGAACACTGATCTTCCGTATCGTTGTTCTTATTCAACCGGCAGATCGAATCAACGCTTTTTATAGCAAAATGCAACTTGATACGAACATTTGCTGAGACGATTTCGAAGGAAATTTAGCTGGACATTTCAGTCTACTTGCCACCTTTTCATTTCTAGTTAACATTCCGACCGCCTGGGGGATTTTCTCGATTTAAGATTTGGTCCTTTAGCTTCGGTTGGCTGAATTGATTTCTGTCGAGCTGCGCGATCTTTTCACAAACGTGTCATTACCAGCCTAGGAGAATGGTTCGGCATATTTTATGCATATATGGCACTCCCGGTACAATAGAACACTATCTTTAGGATATGGGCGATGGTGGCCAAGTGTTTAGGTCATCAAATTGTGACCCGGAAGTCCCGGGTTCGAACCGCTCCACCGCCGCCCGTTTTCCCTAATTCTATATTTCCCCAGGCCGCAGCCCCTTCGTGAAAGTTGACTGTACATTTGTGTATTCAATAAATAAAAGAGGAAGTAAGAGACACTTTTTTTTATTTACATTCGTTATTTATTTTAGGCTATTAACTGACTACAAAAGTGTAAGAAAAGACTGCCGTGCTGTTCCATGAGGGGAGGGGACGGATTGGGTAGATAGCTCGGCTGTTTGTTCATCAACTTGAAACAACGCACGTGATAAACGCTGAGCGAGGCACCGAATACTTTGTAGGGTTTGTGCAAAATGTTATTTCGAAGACCACCAGTGCTCTAGCGATACGATCATGAATTATAGCTGAGTATCCATTAATTATGCTTTTCCGTTCATCCTCGCTTCCTCAAAGGCTCACACTTGACTATGCTCAGGATCTGTGAGCGGTCTGTAAATCATGCAACAAATTCTCTCAGCTGTCATCATTTGAATTTGGATAAAGGAATTGATGACATGCACAAGAAAATACAGGTGACCCTAACCAAAACTGGTCGGCGTATTTTCCCATTCCAGTTTGATACACCTCCCAACTATAAAGAAGAAACGGTTCTTTTAAAAATGACTAACATACTGTTGCAAAATTAGGGATGACGTGGGAAAGGTAAAATTCCTACCTTGTTCAGAAATTACGCGGGGGTACTTGGAGAATATGAAAATACGACATTGTAAAGAAAAAACAGTTCTACAGTCGCTGTGTTGATGATACATCTGTCGTATTGATTGACTACGCGGAAGCGAAAGTGATGCTTGAAAAACTCAACAAATTACATCGCAAGATTGAATTCGAGGTTGAGCACCAATTGGAATATCCCTTCCATTTACTAGAAAGTCAAATGAATGAAAAAAACAGACGGATCTCTCGTCAGATATGTATTTCATAATTAAAAACAGTTCAATTCTAGCTGCACCGCACGGAAAAGGATACCCTGAAAAGTTTATTGCAAAATATGATGCGTCGTTGAATAAACGAGAACAAAGTGGCATCGCCTGGGATAAAGCTGTTTTTGTCACCGTAGCGTTTAAAGGTGACCGAAAAGATAGGCGGATACTGAGTTTGCCTTTTCAATGTACCTTCTTTAGTAAGTAAGTCGACAGAANCTACCAGGGAAACAGAGTATATAACAAATAATTTGGTGTCTAAGGGATTCAAACTTCCGAACAGTTCAGTCGCTTGTCATTAGGATAGACCGCTAGGAATGTGATATACCTACGAATCCACTCCTATCTTGATCTACCAGAGGGATAGCCGTCTCCTACAGTTCGCTGAGGTAGCTGCCATCCGACGTTACGAACCCGATATGTATAAAAGGACCGAAATCATGGGCAGCCTGAGAAGTCTGAATACCCTTCTGCCTTGCAGTGATTACGCTGCCTGCCCCTATGTCCAATCCGGGTAAATTTGGCTCCCGTAGTGACTGGATTCACTTTCTCGTGTGTGCTCACCTTTAATTTTCCCAAACGTGATCTGGACGTATCTACAAAGCTGACGTGGTTCACTACGTAGTTTCATTCAGCACGTCCTGTTATCGTGGTGCTTCTTCCTGCTCTCATGAAAATATTAAAAGGAACTGCTTGTATGAAATTCCACAACGGTTAAACAGAAAAAATTGGAGGCAAAACTGGGATTCTGAATTTACCGAAAAATGCGCTCATCAAGAGTTACAACAGTCCGAATCGGATGGAGAAGACTGTTGTTATGGTGCATAGATATGTACGGAGGACAGTGGACGTTTGAGCAAGCAGCTGACACACTGATTGCAAGCAGCTTGTTAAATTTGGTTGCTCGAACGACGGTGAAAAAACAGTTAGGTAACGGTAGACCGTTGTCTATGGCTAAAAGCTAAGTACAGCTTAAACGCATGAGGATATCTCTATCTTCCATTCTTGGGAAATAGATAGAGTTATACAAACAAAAAAGACTGATGCAAACCAAACGAAAACTCAACAGAACTCGGGCGAAAAGCCGTAGATATATCCATAGTTATTCAACTTTGCCGTTTTGAAACAAATACAGGCTACCCTGTACCATCGAATATGTTGGTGATATATTCCTTGTTGGTAAGAAGACGTATGGTGTGACTGTGTTCGGCTCTACGGCCGATCAGCCCTCCACACTGACGTGAAGGGTATGAACTGGTTTTGTGAATGGACTTGATTCCTGCAGGTTAATTAGCAGCCCTATCAGCGAAAAACCAAAGGCCACCGTTTCGTGTAGGGACCGAGAACACCACGAGAAGTATCCGCTTATCTTGTTGGTCAAATCTGTTTTTATAATTTTTAATAAAGCTTATGGTTGTGCTCCCGCTTGCCGAATTCCATCACGGAAGATTGCGGTAATTTCGATGAACCGAGGGATACCAGATTCACAAATGCTTTTGTTCTACTTTTCGTATTTCCACACAGCTCTTACGAAGGAGGTAAGTCATGCTCTATGGTATACACAAACTCGCAAAGTATTTGGAGACAAGTATTATGTACACATCCGTCTGAAAGTGTTGATGAAGAACACAGTCTACCTTGGGTGCATCCAATGGAGCTTGATACACCTGTTTTAATTTGGTTCATCATTCAAATAAAAGAAAGAACACATTATAAGATTTGCGTTGGACAAGTCGCATTCCAATCTATTTTCTCGCTCTAGCTTATCAGGTTTATGCAACACCTCCAGTTCTCGAGAAATCCCAAGGTCCTTAGCGGATTTAGATTTCACGGTTACTTTTACTAGAGAGAACTTAACTACGTGCAATCAACTCGCGCATTTGTAATCAGGGCAGACTTACACTGACCTGCACCAATGAACGCAGGTGGGAACGAGATTCCTATAGGCGTGCAAAGAGCCCTCATTTACCGGGCAGATAGAGAACAGTTTCTGCGACCTTATTAATCGCCAATATGTACCTTGTATCTAAATCATTGCTCTGTTAAAAACGATTTGTAAGCGTTAGGAAGATCATTGCTATTCGTCCCAAGATAAGCCCAGCTGCATATTTGCTAATTCTGCGAAAAAATCAAACAAATTTACAACAAGCTTGAGCTAAATTGGAGTCACCTCGGATCAATACTAACCTCGTGGAGATCAATCAATATTATTGCGTCGTACGGCAATATTCACTCAGTTCGTCCGTCTGACCCGTGGCCGGTTGAACTTTGCCCACTGTGTATTTCATTGGTACACTCGTTTTCTTGCATTGATCAATGTTATTTTCAGTCACATATAAACAGCAGAGTAAAACTGTAAATTGACTCGTGACTTGTGCTCAACGCCATTAAAAAACCCGTGCTGCTGAAGCCGTCTTCTCTCTCGCGTATTTGGGAGACCTGAGAGATCGATGGCCGACCGTGCGTCCTTTGTTTCGCCTAGGTAGTTTCCGCTCCTAGAACTATCATTCGTTCACGGACTTGGTGCTAGTCCGCTGTTTTCGTGTGCTTCTAGTGCTACTGTGTTATATCTTGTGTTCTTTGCACTTGTGGTGTTCATATGTGACGTAATAGTAGGCAACGGATATAAGTGGCGTAAAACATAACAATAGGTTATCGTATTGACTGAATCATCACTTTCTTTTTTAAATGTGACCAGTACTGGTTCCTACCGAACATTTAAATCCCTCGGTGATCTGCCACGATGTGAAATTGACGAACTAACCGAAATGATGTAGGTCGTCAACGGAGTTTAGGCTGAACTAATCCCGGNAAGTTACCGTCGAAGATTTTTCAGTATCCGGCGGTTTTCTGAGTCAGTGAACGTCATCTCGTTCAGTTGTGATGCGATAAGCACACTTGGAATTCCGATTCCAACCGAATGAGACCTGTCACTTAGTAGCTGTGCCGAATGATCAACGATATTCGGAAGACCCAGGACGCAGGATGGACAAACATCATAGAGACACCTTGAAAAGTAGCTGGTATTTGAGCAGAATTTAAAAATAACTTCGGTTTATTAAAACCCCTGAAATGAAATACAAACAGACACCGTTGGCACCAAACGAATGTTTTGTATTCCTGGATACATTACCCAACGCCGATAACGAAAGCGAATTGTACTCAGGTCCAAGAACGTAAGTTCTGCCGACAGTAGCATCTCGAAAATTGACTTTCCCGCAAATGCTACTCATCGCAGTAAGACGCAACAACCAAAGGAATCGAGAAACATCAGGCTCCAGACACTACCCTTCGGGTTGGCTGAAGTATGGCCTAATCATTCACTCAATATTCCCATATACGATTTATAAAAATTGTGAACACATCAGCCAAGTTGAAGACAAGCTCGAGCAAATTGTATTTGTATTTGAAATCACACAAAGATTTCCAAATCCAAGTCCAGAGAAGAGCAAGGCATAGTCAGTTCAAAATGGTGCAACACTTCCGGGTGGATAACCCCCAGACGACCAATAACTCGATTACCCGGAGAAAGCAGCACATTTGCACATCGACCGGGGAAAAAGGTTGGATCTGGGTAAGCAGATAGGGCGAGAGTGGGAAAGACGAGTACATCAATTGGCAATAAGACCACGATGGGAGAGGTACAAGGGGAACTTGACAAACAGGTTGTTCACTATTAACTGGAAACAATGAGTTGCCATTATGCTTTGTGTTACGTTCCCGGATCGCCCAGAGCGAGAGGAAGAACAAAGACCGTCAGATCGAATGAATGCGTCAAGCACTAAACCACATGACAAGAGCGACAATCATATCATAAAAGGTCAAGGTCAATGGCACTGTCTGTTCACCTGCTGACCAGTGACAACCCTAACACTTTGGTTTCTACAACAGCACTGCTGACAATCTGTTCTGAACTGAGCGGTGATGCATTTCACTGGAAGATGTCGTTGTTACCATGTCTACTTATTTTTCTAGTACAAGTATTGTGAGATGCTAATTAAGTTTTGTAGTACATAAAATAATGCGGTTGGCGGTTTCTTTCAAAGGTCAAAAATGAGCAAGACCACTTAGAGCAAACTGCTGTGCTCCAAATAATTACTACGAACTGTTCCACTCATTACCCAGTGCGCAGCTGAGGATTGTGACGACACGTTTCAAATCAGATATCTTGTATACCAAATTAATTTGCAATGAACAACTTTCTTCGACCAAGCACCACCTTGTGTAATTTTAACACAAGTAGGTAACAGGACTGATGCGCGAAAACCAAACACCACATATTGTACTCACCTTCAGCGGCCTGTAGTTCGTAAGTTAATCCGGTCGACTTATCACCGGATTCTGCAGTCACCCTGGCAACTTCCGGAGCCAACTTCCAACGAATCGACAAAACGTGCATCAAGCGATCCAACAATCCGTGAATCACTTCAAATCCGGAGTTCTTGCTGTAGTACACGGCACAAACTCGGCGATTGTTCCGGGCACCAACATCTAGGCACAAATAACGGTGCGAAAAACATCAAGACTCCGTTTCCGAACGACAAAAATAGTAAACAATTGCACGCGCGAAGGGACAAATGGACTCGCGTGCGTATGTATTGGGACAAGAAAGAAGTCTCAACAGGTTTGACGTAAGTAAAAAATAATCCGGTTTGCACTCTCATGACAAAATCAATTCTAGTAATCTGCAATGTGATTTTATTTTCCCAAGATAATTTTATCTCTAAGCAGTGATAAATGCTGTGATGTACTGGCATGGATAAGATTAACTGAAAACGACTTTCTTCGCCGCCCTGTTCACTTGTTTAAAGCAATAAAGGAACACACCAGCGACAGCTGTGAAAAGGTTCAATCCCCGACGAGGACGTTTCCTCGCTTCTCTTAAACCACTTGATGGGGAAATCCTATTCATTGTCTACTCATAGATAGAGTTTTTCACCCAAAATGGAGGGGAGAAAAAGCCAATATCTGGATTCGTTAGCCACCGATTATAAGCTCAGTCAACGGAGGAAGAGAAACGCAATTTGAAATTTAGAAAAGGGGCCTGAGACCTCTTGATCGTATATACTAGGCCCTGAACTTATGGAGGCTTTCAAGGGGGATAAAATTTAACTGAGTGAGGGCAGACCGCCCGGTTTATTTGTGGATCAAGTGTTAGTGAGCCGAAAACTCCGGTAAACAAGCCCGAGGTAGATCGCCTTTGGTTGCGACAACCGAGATGTATCGTGCGCATGAACAACTTGAGGAACGTCTTTGTAGTAAAGAATTGAAGACTATAGTATGTTTGACACAAAGCCTGGACCAAGGCAAGTAAGAAAGATTAGTTTACTAATCGCAGGAACAATCCAAGAATCTGTACAATTTGAACTAAAGACTGAATTTCGTCACCAATATTGTTGGTACATTCAGAGGACGGAAAATGTAGTTAGTCGTTGAAAATCCCGAACTGATTACTCAGAAACAAGATCACAGCGAAAACTTAGGAGAAAATTTTGTTCTTCAGTGTGAACGATTGCACCAACTTCCACCTGATCTTTTGGGCAAGACAAAGATAGAAACATGGGCACTGTCGAGGAAGGGGAGGAGGGGTCAGAGCATAAACGAACCTTTCGACCCGTCCTTCATCACAACGTCCTGTACTTCGAACACTTTCAACGGTAGCGGTAGTCGCCGATTGTTTGAAATAGTATGTAAAATACCCGGAAGCAATGTGGTGCGGACAACCTCGGCACGGAAGGATAGAACAGAGTGGAACGGATTATTGGGGTAGAATTATATAACAACGAAGAAACAAAACAACCAAGCGGTGTACAATAAGACTACCTTTTCACATACCGACAGAAAATTTGGGGTGTTTGCCATTGCCTCAAAAATATTGCCTCTTTTAGTCGAGAAAAATCATCTTCCAAAATACAAGGAAAGAACAGGTGAATGGACTAAACTGGTAGGGACTTTAGTACACATAAGATAAATCTGTTGTTTGTAAAAACACGAAATAGTGAACAAGCTCGTTTTCGATAACTCCCTCATCTGGCTAATACAGTTATAGGTA